GAGCCTCGTCACTGCGAGTCATCGGGGCGCGGGCATCGCGGAGCGGATCAGGATCAAGTCGGAGTGACAGCCGCGCCAGGCCGCCCACGAAGGGGCTGGGAGGGATTGGATAGGAAGGAGGCAGGAGAAGCGCGGGGGGGGGAGGCATTTGGAAGCACGGCCGCCAGGGCCACAAGCCGAGTCTGCGGGCGACTTAGTAGCAGTCGAAAACTACACGCGTACTTTCTGACAAACGGCTCTGTAAAATTTTAAGAATCCCTTTTGTTTTTAAGGCGAGACTTGGGTGGATAAAACAAAAATCGAAAACTAGCTGCACAAATAATTGTTGGTGTAGCAAAAATTGGAGACATCAGAAATCTTTAGATAGAAGATCCACGAAACCCCTCCTGGATCCGCGAACAATAAATGTATCCACACGAGACTCACCTTTTGCGCCTTGCACATGGCGTTGATGGCCTGCACGTCGTGGTGCGCGTGCCGGGTGTCGTGCAGGCAGAGCGCGCACACGGCCGCCCGGCACACGAGGCAGTAGAGCGACAGCGCCTCGTCGGTGTGCTCGGCGCACGACGCCTCGCCGCGGCCCAGCTTGCAGCGCAGCGCCGCCTTGCCCTGCCGCGGCTCCAGCAGCGTGTGCCGCGCCAGCGGGCCGCGCGCCGGGTGGCACGCCTCGCGGCACGCGTCGCAGTAGAGCACCTGCAATCAGTTGTGACTTGTGAGGGGGGATAAAAATGTTATGGGGGTTCAAAAAGGTTCGGCGATACAGTCATTGGAGTTCATAGAGACTCCATGATATTTTTACCCCGGGATACAAATATCGTGGAATCGAAAAATGTTCAAAAGGTTCAGGTTCAGGACAGTCATTGGAGTCCAGAAGAGACTCCATGATATTTGTACCCTAGGATACAAATATCATGGGATCAAAAAATGCCCAAAAGGTTCAGGACAGTCATTGGAGTCCAGGAGGGACTCCATGAAATTTGTACCCCGGGGTTCAAATATTACGGGGTCAAAAATGTTCAGGGCGTTTATTGAAGTCCAAAGGGGCTCCACGATATTTTTACCCAGGGTTGAAAACACCAAGGGGTCCGCTACAGATTCCAATAATTTCCCTGAACCTTTTGGTACACAATAATTTAGAATCTGCTGGGTTAAACAGATTTGAATTACATATTACATGTATACTTTTTCTCAACATGGAAAATGGAGATGGAACATACTATTTCCTCAACTTTTTGTTTTGTTTTTTGCCTCTCATTCTATCATGAAAGTAAAGGCGACGACACATCCGCGGTGGCGGACGGACCAGCGGGCTGGCGGACGGACGGACGCCGCATTTTCGCCGGGATAAGGAGTATAAAGTGAGGACCGCACGGCCGCAGGGCGGGGCGGGGAAAGAGTCCCCTCTAAAAGGCGCGAGAGAGGCTTGGGCGGGGCGTGTGTCTCGGGGAGGGGTAGGCTAGGCGGGTGCGCGTCCGGGCGACCCAATCTGTCCTTGTCGGCTCTCGCAATGTTCACACTCGCGGGGCGCCGCGCCGAAAAATAAAATATATGTCCCACTCGCCGTGCGGGATAGATGGGACACACA